TTTTTGAGTATAGATGTGACAACCAAAATTGTAGCAGTAGTAAAGACATCCGTTCTTTGTTATTTTACTTCTTTCAAGTCTTTTACCACTCATTCTCACTGATTGGAAAGTTTTTCTTTACTTGTTGTTAATCAATAGAATTTTTAGTAGTTCTTTGAATATTAAAACTGCTAAATAGAATTTTTAAACACAGAAATTCAATTAACAGGTTAGTATTCAAAATGATGTTCTTATTGATTCATTTGAAATCATATTATTAAGAGCGTGACTTAATTTTTACAGATTTTTCAGTAAATTTATTTAATATAAAAAAATAGAGAACAACGAACTTAATCTTGGAAATATTGTCCATCGTTTTCGATGACCTTGCGTCATCTCTCAGGTAACATTCGAATGCCGTCGCGAAAGAAACTTGCAGGTTTCGAGGCGATAAAGTCATCGACGAATTTACGCATATCGTCCAGCGTTTTAAACTGTTTATCCACTAAGGCATGTTGCATGGACCGGAAAAAGTGATAGTCGGATAGGGCCAAGTCTGGTGAATATGCCGCGTGCGGGAGAACTTCCCATCCCAAGTTTAAAGCCCATCATACACGAGCGAACGGCAGACGAACGGTGCGCGCGAACATAGTGAAATCGAGCCACCGACGAACGAAGTTCGCCCGTGTGTGGGGCCCACGAACCATGTTCGTCGTTCGCCGTTCGTCGTTTGTCGTGCGCCGTTCGTCGTTTTCAAGAAGGCTTGAAAACGGCCGTTCGTGGCGAACCAAGTTCGTTGGAAGTTCGTCCGTGTGTGGGGATCACGAACGTCGTTCGTGAACCAAATGGTCTAATTAATTAAATATTTCGGGTTATAATAATGCAACGGTCCTAGAAAAGCGGATGGATCGGTAGGGAACGAACCCTCCCACATGGAGACAAAATTTTGATAGAAATTACCATGAAAATGGCGTAAAAATTACGTTTATACTTTAATATACTGAAATAAGAGTAAATTTTCCAATATTAACTCACAACGTTGTTTCTCCGCAAAATTTCCCAAATATCACGCATTCGGTAAAAATTATGTTAAAATCCAGCGAAATTCATAAAATTGGGAGGAAAAATTCGTCTTCGGCCCCGCAGTTTTTCTTGAATTTTCGTAATTGGCTGTACCTTGGAATGAATTTCTCCCTGATTTTTTTTTTCGTGTGAAAATATACTTCCACCATACATGTAGGTGTTGGAGACAGGGGGCTATATTTTATTGCCCCACCATAAAACGAATGAAAAAAGGGTCTAACGGCGTATCCATTGCATATCCATCTCCACATTCAAAAATGTCATCAATGAGTCACCAATATCAACAGAAATGGTTTTGGGTCAATACCTGAAGGGACAGGAGGCCCATGCCGATACGTCATCACTGTGGAAGTAAATAGGGAGGGGCAAAATCGCAAAGTGATTCATAGCAGTTAACAATTCTTCCCGTATTATTTTGGTATAAATTCTCAAGGAAAAAAAAATTAAGTAAAAGATAAATACACTGAAAAATTGAGTTTTGCCCTACCTTCACATTTAATGAAACAGTAAAAAAAAACGGAAGAATAATTGAAAAATGAAAAACGCAGCTATATTGACGTATCAATATCACGGCATTCGGTTCGTCCCGTGTGTGGAGTTTCGAGACGAGAGACCGTTCGCAGACAAACCCTGTTCGCGCGCACCGTTCGTCTGCAGTTCGCTCGTGTATGATGGCCTTTAATCATAAACACAGCATGTAAAACGGTCTCTCGTCTCGAAACTCCACACACGGGACGAACCGAATGCCGTGATATTGATACGTCAATATAGCTGCGTTTTTCATTTTTCAATTATTCTTCCGTTTTTTTTTACTGTTTCATTAAATGTGAAGGTAGGGCAAAACTCAATTTTTCAGTGTATTTATCTTTTACTTAATTTTTTTTTCCTTGAGAATTTATACCAAAATAATACGGGAAGAATTGTTAACTGCTATGAATCACTTTGCGATTTTGCCCCTCCCTATTTACTTCCACAGTGATGACGTATCGGCATGGGCCTCCTGTCCCTTCAGGTATTGACCCAAAACCATTTCTGTTGATATTGGTGATAGCAGAACAAGTTTCTCCCAATTTTATGAATTTCGCTGGATTTTAACATAATTTTTACCGAATGCGTGATATTTGGGAAATTTTGCGGAGAAACAACGTTGTGAGTTAATATTGGAAAATTTACTCTTATTTCAGTATATTAAAGTATAAACGTAATTTTTACGCCATTTTCATGGTAATTTCTATCAAAATTTTGTCTCCATGTGGGAGGGTTCGTTCCCTACCGATCCATCCGCTTTTCTAGGACCGTTGCATTATTATAACCCGAAATAATTAATTAATTAGACCATTTGGTTCACGAACGACGTCCGTGATCCCCACACACGGACGAACTTCCAACGAACTTGGTTCGCCACGAACGGCCGTTTTCAAGCCGTCTTGACAACGACGAACGGCGCACGACGAACGACAAACGGCGAACGACGAACATGGTTCGTGGGCCCCACACATGGGTGAACTTCGTTCGTCGGTGGCTCGATTTCACTATGTTCGCGTGCACCGTTCGTCTGCCGTTCGCTCGTGTATGATGGCCTTAAGAGGGTCGTCTGAGTCGCGCGAGCAACGTGAGGTCGAGCATTGTCATGCAGCAGTATGACTTCTCTGCTTCCTTGTCCAGTAAATGGCCTTTTCCGATCAAGTTCTTCGCTCAGTTTGTTCAGTTGTTGGCTGTAGCGTTCCGCAGTCACCGTCTGACCTGTTTCCAGGAGTTCGCAATAAAGCACACCCTTCATGTCCCACCAGATACACAGGAGAATCTTCTTTAAGTGGATGTTCTATTTCGGTGTCGATGTACTGGATTTTCCGGGATCTACCCACGACTTTTTACGTTTGGGATTCTCGTAAAAAATACACTTTTCATCACCCGTCACAATTCTCCTAAAAAAGTGCTTTTCTTTGTTGCCGGGCAAGCAGTGAAAGGCCCGTGTTCATACGTTGACCTAGGTTGTGTACGGTCGACCCATGTGGGACCCACCTGCCAAGTTTTTGGATTTTTCCCATTTGATGCAAACGCTTAGAAATGGCTGTTCGGGTGACTCTTAACTGAGCTGCAAGCTCTTGTTGCGTTTGCGTTGAGTCTTCATCCAGGACGCGGCTGGTCATTCAGATCGAAATCACCACTTCTAAAACGTTTGTACCAATAATTACACGTTTCATAAGATACAACGTCGGCACCAAGAATACTACACATTGATTCCCGTGCTTCAAAAGCATTTTTTTCTTGTTGGAATTCGTATAAAATGCAGTGCCGACCGTGCTGTTTATCAGTTGCCATCGTAAACTCTGCTGTTCTGAAAGGTTATGTAACTTACATAGACTTGTCGTTCCGTGTTCTAAAACCTTTTGTCCGATCCTTTCAAAACCAGAAAAGACCACGAATATATTTCTATTTTAAATATAATTTCAAGCTCGAAGAAAACATCTGTAGAAATTAGGTCACACACCTAATAAATTGTAAATGAATAGTTTTTTAATCTAGACAACAACCAAAACTGCGCAAGCCTAATCAAACAAAATTTACGTAAGTTGTAAACCTGACTCATCCGAAGCACTTCAAGTGTGCGAAACAAACAGACCTTGGTCGAGTTTGTTGGGTTAGGCATTCAATTTACATGGAACGGTTTCAATTCCAATTCCGTCTGATGACTACTAAGTTCTAACCAGTCAATAAGCCTTGATCAGTCGCCCGTATAATTACTACTTAGCAGTTCAGAGGGAGCCATGAAACAAATGAAAAAGAAAAGCAAGTTCGTCCTCCCCAAAGTTTAATTGGAATTGAAGTTGCATCGTTTTCATTGAAATAAAGAGTTATTTTCTATTTCGATAGAGAAGCATCATCCAGAATGAAAATTCGGGCGGTTATGAGGATTCGTATCTTTATTAGACTGTCTTATCGTTATGTTGATCTTAGAAGAGATTCCTTCCAAAATTATAAACAAGCAGGGGTTCGAGCCTTTTTGGCCGAAGCCATCTGACCGTTACTTTATGTGTTATAACTCTTTTTCTTTCTTTCATTTCTACGAATTCCATTGGTAGTAAGCTTCCGAATGGGATAGAAAGCACTCGGATAGAAGGCATCGAAGCAAATATTTTGAAAAAAAAAAATTGAAATCGGTTGCGTAGTTTTTAAGATATTGCACATAAAAGGTTTTCAGAGAAAGTCAAATATCTCGGAAACTACTCATGCGATTGAGCTCATTTTCAATAGGAAGCATTATTACCATGATAGGAAGATTCTTTCCAAATTTCAAGTTGATATCTCAATTTTTGTACAAGCTAGAGTGATTACAAGGATTTTTATGAAAAAACAGAAAAACGGAAATTTCTCGAAAACTTTGTATGAACGGGTATATATATTTTGATTGATTTGGAGAGAAGGCATCGAAACGAATATTTAAAAAAAAAATTGAAAACCGGTCGACTAGCTTCGAAGATATTAGTGAAAAACGATTTAAAAACGAATAGCTTTTTCTCAAAAACTATTTGATCGATTGGGCTGAACTTTTGCACAGAGTTAGTCCTTATTAAGGTCTATAATCTGACAAAATTTCAGATTTTTTGGAATAAGTTTAGCCAATTAATTACTCGATTTTCCAAAAATTGACCACTGGAAAGGTGGCAATGGACATTGACACCGACAGACATGGTCGCCAAACTTCGTATTTTTACGTTTCAGACCATTCTACATAATTTCCAATCAAAATTAGAGAATGTGAAAACAGCACGATTACAATGCTTCCATTTGGAAGCAAAAAAACACAAACAAAACTCCCAAGATAAAATTTTCTTGCCATATGTTGCCAGCCCCATATGGTCTATATCTTTGATCGATAAAAATTTAAAATTTGTAGATTGCATAATCCATCCATTCAATTATGATAATGAACTCACTCAGTGATATCCAAACGTTCCAACGCCAGCTTTAGATTTTTTATAGCCAGTCGCTTGTTATCAGTATCACGTCGTAATCTCTGGAGTCTCTCTTCAGTGGCTTTTCTATCAGCTTCTGTAAGTGGTGGTGCCCCATTCCGCAAGGCCAGACGATTACTCAGCGTATTGCATAATTGACCCTTGAGGCTGTAAAAAAATCTTCAACGTTAAACCAATATCGGAGGATTTGCTTAGTTAGATGAGTGGCAACCATTGGATTGGTAACGATGAAATAATGTATACAGTTCGAGAAAAATGCAGTGCATGCTCACGTTTGGATGATGTTTTCTTTGTCCCGAAGAGCGATCCGCAGAGCGTCGACCTCTTTATACTGATCCTTGTTTCTGTGACCGACCTGGGGAGAGGTTATTCCCCCGGATATACTTCCCCCTTTTTTTCGCCTTGGAGATGTTGATAATGATACTTCTATGCTTGCCATCTTCAATCAAATAAAGTGACGCACTTTATGTAATTAAAAATAGTTAGATTCATTACATTTGTGTTGTCATTTCATGGATCTATACATTTTTTTTCATTCTTCATATTCTAATTTAGTATATTCGGCGTTCAACAGTAGGCGAAGGGATGCCTGTACTGCTCACCTAAGGAATAATCACACTTCGGATAAAAATTATAGTCGCATAGTATTCTTTGATTATTCATCTAGATATTTACAAGTTTTGTATCCTCAATTCTTGTTTCAGTTCTGATAAATTATCAAAAAAATGAATATAATACCGGTCAGTCTGATTTGTATATCGCTCAGTACCTAACCTGTAGTCAATAGCTATAAAAATAAGAAAATCTCCGAAGTTGGATGATTCAATGAAATGATTGGAATTCAGATTTTATTTGATAAATTGAAATGCATAAGACCAAAATGATATTGTGAAATTGTGGGAATGGCACTTCAATCATTATTCCATGTTTTTTTTTGAAGGAATAATAGTAAAATATTTCGGCTCTATTTCGTTTGAACATTTTAATCTTGTTTAGAACAAGTTATACATTTGAATATGTATTCGTTATAACCATCCGAATGAGTCAGCGAACTTCTCAAACAGTGAACGGACGGCTTATATAAAATGTCAGAGCCATTTTATATAGCCATTTTATATTTTTCATTTTCAAATTCTTCTTTCGTGGTCCAAAAATATCTCTTAAAATAGATTTTCATCAGAGGAATCACTAATTATGTTGTATTTGCATGAGTTTTTCCGGCCACAAACAATTACGTAAGCTGTCCAGGCACTGAGCGGCATTGGCCTCAAAACGAGCGATATTGGTCACACTGGCCGAGCGGTATTGGTGACATTGCCCGAATTTCAGAAAACATTCTCTAACTAGGAAGCTACGCCCCCTGCTCGCTTCGCTCGCCAACCCGCGAGGGGGCTTCGCCCCCCCCCCCTGGTTTCGCTCGCCCCCCCCTCCTCCTGTGTGCCTATGCGGGTATGACCATGGGGGTTTGTTCAATATTTTCATTGTTAAAATTCTATTGTGAAATACATTCATTAGCCATCAAATAGAATAATCCTCTGAAACCACTCAAAATTTCTGTTTCTGCATGTATTTCTCCCCCCCCCCCTAAAGGGAAGGGACAACCACTTAATATTTTCCATCCATTCATATATATTTTAAAACTCCATTTATATTAGACATAACCCTTATGACCCTTACATCCGCATGACATTTATGACCCTTATATCCCCATAACCCTTATGACCCTTAGCAATCCTATAACCCTTATGACCCTTAGCAACCCCATGACCCTTATGACTCTTAGCAACCCCATGACCCTTGTGACCCTCGTGACCCTTATGAACCCTGAAAATTTTTTAGCGTTAGGCAACACTACTTTTTTTATTGTGACCATTATTTTGACCCTTATATCCCCATAACCCTTACTACCCTTAGCAACCCTATAACCCTTATGACCCTTAGCAACCCCATGACACTTATGACCCTTAGAAACCCCATGACCCTTGTGACCCTCGTGACCCTTATGAACCCTAAAAATTTTTTAGCGTTAGGCAACACTACTTTTTTATTGTGACCATCATTTTGACCCTTATAACCCTTATGACCCTTAGCGTGACCCTTGTTTTGACCCATTAATATCCCAAGGGACCCTTAATATCCCCATAACCCTTATGAACCTTACATCCCCATGACATTTCTGACCCTTATATCCCCATAATCCTTGTTCCTGACCCTTATATCTGAACCTTGTCGCTGACCCTTGTTGTTGACCCTTATGTCTGACCTTTATCCCTGATCCTCATTCCTGACCCTTATATTAAACGTCGCCTGAATTTTTCCATCCCCTGAATTTTCTCTCTTACTTTTTTACTAGGGGGCTACGCCCCCTGTTCGCTTCGCTCGCCAAACCTGGGAGGGGCTTCGTCCCCCCACCGCTCGCTTCGCTCGCTCCCCCTCTCCTATGTAGCTATGCGGGTATGACCATGGGGGTAGAGAGATTATTAATTAAAAGATGAAAAAAAGTAAACTTCGATGTCAAATAATGTGAAAAAGAATTACAAAGTCATTTATAATTTTCTGTGATGATAATGCTATCATAGTGAAAAAACATGTGCTAGTCCAGAAAAATTACATTGTAAGGTCCTGAAAATTCTGGGATGCTAGTTTTGTAATTTAAAGGGGTGACAAAACGAAAATTTTCAAAAGAATTGTATACTGATATAGAGTTATCAGATTGAGTAAGAAACAGTGTGGGAAAAGTAAGCGGTTGTGGAGAAAATTCGGTGAGCGGTATTGGCTGCTCAGTGGTACAGCCTCCCCTAATCGTGACGATTTCGTATGTCATAGTTTCCTGTAAATTCAGGTATTCTCATAGAAAACTGATTCGCCCGAAAAAAAGATTGTTAATAATAACCATCATAAACTATAGAACTTCTTGCATCCTCTTATCCAATCCTAAGAAAAAACATGAATCTTTGAAGTTCTACCATAGGTAAGCCAAATGAGTAATTCTGCACAGCGGGGAGTGGTTTTTGATGTGGGTTGTGTGGTGGATGAAAAGGATGAGGCGTGAAAGCGAAATTGAAGGTGGGAATACAACTCCAATGGTATATAAGGAGCGCAGTGACCGCAACAGTACTGGATGGATAACAGCGAGGAGGGGAAAGGGGGGAAAAGGTTTCCCTTAACATCCGGACCGGGGGCACCGCCACCATCACCATCAGGCACATTCATTTTCTTCTTGGAACATGAGTAAGATAATAGTTGTGTAGTCACACATGCTTTTTCTTATTTCTTTATGGTATTTCCTTTTCTTTCTCTTTCCGTTTTCTCGCCTTGACACTCCAAGAATTCATGGGAAAGTTATCGGTGAGATACTAGAATTTATGGCGATCAGACATCAACGGACAAGGGGAGACGATGTCTTCGAGAATAACTTTGTGATCATGAGGGGAAGATTTTTCTTAGCGTTTCGCATTTTTTTTCTTCCAATGGCGATAAATAGGATTTTGCAGAGAACGTTGCTGGAAAAAACTTGGGAGTTGAGGTTAACTCAAGAGAAAGGGATAAAGTACCGGTAAAACCGTAAGTATCAAAGTAGCGGGTGGTCTTTTTCGTCTAATGTCAACCATCAACTTTTTTTTACCAACGAGAAACTCTTGGATTGCATTTTCTGAAGAATCCCTGAGTATCAGCGGAAGTCATTAGCGAGAAGACTATACAGCTGTAATAGAGGAGATAGACTCCTTCGTTTTATTATGAGAGAAAGGGGTAAAAATTGTTCAAGTACACGCATATACGGACGGGTCAAACGGCTAGTGAATCTCTTACTCCTGAACTTACCAGCAGAATCCGGATGAGAAGTGTAAGGCGGTATCTTTTTGCTGTTTCTTTTCACCATCGTTGAGTGTTTTTTTTGCTCAATATTTTCATTTCTTTTGTTAACTAGGTGTTTGAAGATTGAAAAATTCTTGAAAACCAGAGTGTGAACGGGTGGGAGATGGTAATGTGTAAAAAAGAAAGATGAACAAAGAGAAGTGTGAAATGAAAGAGTCGCGTACTAAAAAAGAGACCCGGAAGGGGTTGTGTACGTTGTACTGGTGAAAATTTCCTACACTTTCAGTATTATTAGACGCTAGAAAATGTGGATATAAAGAACGAGTGATACCGGAAAGGTCAAGGCCATTCAGTTAAAATAAAAAGTAATTCAAAAAAATGTAAAAACTTGTTTCATGAATCGAAACAGGTACAAAAATGTAGAACTTCATAGGAAATGATAGAAATGAGACCATAACATTTTACTTAGGTCGGCCTAACAGCGCAATAAAGTCGTAAATCATATAATTGCAGAATTGTTGAAGAATGTTCGAGATGTTTATGACCGTCCGCTGGTTTTGACGGGATGGAGACCGAAAAAAAGAATGGTAGGTCCGCGGCAGACGAAAGTGGGCACAAAAGGTTACTGACTCCTGTATCCGCAATCTCACTGGGCAAATCGCGTCTGTCTGGAAATTCTCCTTCGAACCAAGGGCGTGCACCCAAAAATGGAGAGATCGAAGTGGATAATTTTGTTGAACCATTGCGAACTCTCTGTGTATATTTTCGACTTGACATTTTCGCCTAATTATTGTCTCGATAATTGATAATATTTATACATTCAAAAACATTTTCTTTCCCCATTTTCTCAGATTTTCGATAAGTTCTCATATTTTTATCGATTAGAGTAATGAGTGCAGAAAATATCTGATCGACTACTAACTGAACTGAATCGTGAGTTTCGCTGTAAATATCTGAAGAAGTAGAATAGTAAAGCAGAAAAGGTGAAATATCGTTTAAATAATGCAGTGACCAGCGTCGAAGAATGGTCGTTCTACGCCATTGTAAGACTGCACGCGTATAGGGCAGTTTTAATGGCGAAACCAAGAGCCGAAACGATACGGTGTGCTCAGGCGCATCTGCATATAAATCACCCGGTTGGACAGCCTCGGGGTAAACTATCGGACCCGAAACCACTCGTTTCCAGTATCGGAGATGACCCTACAACGTGTTACATCCTTTCACAAATGATGATTATATTTGCGTGAAGATCACATTCCTCTAGAGATTCATTTCCAAAAAATTTTGGAGATTGGCGGCAAATTGATTTCGCTGATGGTTTAATGAGATAGATAGTAATTTTGATTCCCCAGATCGTGAAACAAAGATGCAATACAATTTGTAAACTTGTGAATTCATTGAAAGCGTTCTTTTGTTGGTCACTGACCAATATTGCAGTTGACAGTTTGCAAAGAATATTTATGTCACTAAGCCCGAGCAACCGCGGCTGTAACCTCGCTTCGCTCGGTTACTTCGCGGTTTTTGGGCCCAATGACATGAAATATTTATGTCACACGAAGATAAAAGAATTATCTGACTCATATGATAAACAATAGGTAATATCTTCAAAATATTTGACGACATACTTCGCCTTCGGCTCGGATTATAAAGTCACATTCACCAGATAATACTTTTACCGTCTCATGACATAATGTACTGTTATAACACGGTTCGACAAAAATCGGACGTATTTGACTTCGAAAACGAAACTGACCCCATCTTACACATATTTTGATGCTGATTTTAAATTTCTTTTGGAAAATCTTTCTAGCACGTCCATTTTTGGATTAAACAAGCAGGAGACAGTGAGCATATAACAGCGCACTATATGACAGTGAGTGTGTTACTGAGAGATGTCTTATTTCTTTTCGTCATCGATACATTGAGGGCGGGCTTCCGAATGGTCGAAAATATTACAAAAGTTTATAGCTTTACAACAGTAACTAGCAGCAAAAATTTCGGGTATTTACTGCCCCCTTCATGGGTGCTAGAAAAATTTCAACGTTTCGCATACTTGGTATGAACAGATATACATATTTTTTGGTGAAAATTCAAGTTGATATCTTGATTTTGGCACAGGCTAGAGTGATTACAAACTTTGTTTTAATGAAAAAACGAAAAAACGGGAATATCTCTAAAACTTTGTATGAAGATAATTGATAAACACTTCAACTGTGCTAATCGATGGAGTTTTCGAGTTTTGATTCGGATATTGCAGCAGTGTATTCAATTATAAAATGTTTATCAACGAGATGAGTACCTATCATTTTATAATTGAATACATTTTACTCTCATCGAGAAGATGATTCAACTCAGGATAAATGTTGAGAACTTTTTCACAACAAAGGAGAGTGTCTATGAAACAATTCCATGGGAATTCCTCTCATTATTACTGATCACTGAGAGGAAGTTTCCATTGACAATGCACATAAAGTATACAATCTCGTGTTCACTTTTTGTGCAGAGAATATGTAAATATAACTTGATTAGGGTAAATACACACCGAATAACCGTGAAGAGTTACTGCAGTCGCAATAATGGTGCTATTCCATTCTTTTCTGTCTGTATGTTTGGTTTATTGTTTCATATGAACTTATATTTTGCCTCCTATACTTACCTTGGCTTCCAATGTCTCTAGCTGGGCCATTCTGGGTTCCAGTAATTGCTGTGAACCGGTGCTGAGAGCTGTCTGTAAAGAGAAAATACAGAAGAAATATGAGAAAATTTGCGAAGCACAAAAAGAGAGGATAAAGTTTTGTTCTGAAGTATTGAATTACGTCACATAGTTCTGCTCTGGGAAAATTAGAATAAAGAATACTTGGTACACGAACAAACTAGCGTTATGTGAGCTCATTATTTGTAAACAATATGCAGTAGGTAATGGCATGAGGAAATTAGATTGTAGGGCTCAAACGAATGGAAACAAAATAATTCTCACTAGCCACAAAAAATACGAATATGAAATATGAACAATTTCAGAGGAATCCGAGGGGCTAACACCATGTTTTCTAAATGAAGTCGATTTCACGTGATTTTAGGGTTGATCCCAGTGATTTCGAGATTGATTTCAATGATTTCAGGAAGAACTGAAATTTATGATTTCCGAGGCAAAGAAGTAATTGAAATCACAATGAATAAAGTTCAATGAACGAGTGTGAGCGGGGCAGAACGACCGTTTTAAGTTTTCGAAATCTTTTTATCACACAATACGCTTAAATTGAAATTGTTCTTATTTCAAAACTTGAAATTAGACCTGGAAATAGCATCCTATTTCCTTGCTTTCACTTTGCCAATCTACAAATGAAAACATTTTACAAATGAAAAACGGCCCATTCCACCTCTTTTTCCTAATACTCCACAATTCAAAATTAATTTCCAGACGTTGTGTTACAAGACAGATACATGGAATATTCCAGAGATTAATTATTTCATGTCTGAACAGTTGTCTTTAGAAATACTTTTCAACTTCATCAAAAATGCTCTCATGGTGCTTTAAATAATTACTCTCAGTAATCAGCGGAGGGGAAATTGTCCTTGGGTATTGTTTCCTATCAATGCAGCCATGAACGATTATTGACTCGAATTTGAAAAAAATTAAAATTCTTATGCAAAATTTATCATGACTGCGTTTATCCATCCGCTTGAAATGATTTTATGGATTTCAAATGACTTCAGCATGATTTCAAGACCAGCGTGATTTCAGAAATGAATTCAGAGTTGAAATCACGTGATTTCAGTTATTTCCATCATTTCAAATATTGCACACGATTTCAAGGTGATTTCGGATTCATTTCATCACAGAGTAGCGCCATGACTTCGGTAGACAACACCCCCTCAGAGGAATCTATCGAAGTTTTTGAATCAATTATCAGCTTTTCAGGGATGACCAGTATGATATTTTCAGTAATATTATCGATCTAATTATTGATTATTAATGTAATTGGAAAATTGTACTCCTCTGCTTAATCGATAATTGTTTAATCAGTAATAATATAGTATGATTTTGAATTACCCAATTAATCAGTAATTGTATTCTGACATTTTTCAGTTACTCCATCAATCAGTATTCAGAGTTAAACCAATTCGATTATTCGATCAATGAGTACTGGGGGTGAATTTTGATTAAATTAGTCTTTCAATTTATTACTGGGAGTGATTATTGCCTGCTACTCCATTAATATGCCCTATGTTTTGCTGTTCCTTCTAAAAAAAAAAATTGGGTGGTGCCAGATGGTATGACCGTTGTGGTCTTTTACCTACCCGTCCCAGTACCTACGCGGTACCCCAGCCTAATTCCCTACGCGCACTTGCCTCTAAGTTAACTTATATCTAACTCCACATAACTAACTCCACATGCACTGGGTTCGTTTTCCGGCGATGAAAAAATCTTTCATCACCGGGACTCGAACCTGCGCTACTGGGACGCTTTGGTTTATAGGGCCAGCATGCTGATGACGAGCCGAAAGACGTCCTCTGCTGTTCCTTCTATTATTTGTTTAATCAACAATCGAATCGAAGAGATTATCGATTACTCAATTAATCGGTGACTGGAGATTATCAATTTTTATGATTTTATTCATGAGGAATTAAAATTTAATATTTATTGATTGCGAATTGGCCATCCCTGCAACTGTTATCACGAAATGGTAGGAATAGGAATAGTAGGAAACAGGTAGAATGACCATGAAAATTATTCAATTATGGACCCTTCCAAATCGGTTGAATAGAATCCCGTATGGAAAACGGAATATATGTAAAATATATGTCAATTATACGTACATATATTTTGGCGAAAAATGCAATACATTAGATATATGCTGAATATATGCGAGTACGTATATATTACCCACATATATTCGACATATATCTAACATGTATGTAAGATATATTTTCGGCAAAAAATGCAATATGTCACGTATAATTATTTGCATATATTTTTTTTCCGTGAGGGATGCCAGAATAATCGCCTTATTCAGAAGATTTGAATGGATCTCTTTTTCATGCTTCGAAACACAATCAATTCCTTTGAATTCTCTAGCCTCATTACTTTTGGAGATAAGAGGGATGAAATGCATTCGATCTTAGTCTCCCCCGTGATAGAAAATTTCCAATATAAGAGCTATGGGTGTTCCACGCGAAATTGAAATGTCGATGCTCAATAATTTTTTATTCTCTATCCTCTGGAGAGTATTTCAGATATGAGCGGGGAAATTGATATTGATACCCAGAATAGACGTCACCGCTATTCCACTATATTGTAGAATTTACTGAGTTGTAAATAAGGGTTCGGATGTACATAATAACGAGGTTGACTTGGTATACTTGCGCCAAGAGGAACATAAATCATGCCAGAAATAAAAGAAACCGAAAAACGTTGAGAAATGATGAAATACCGAAAGCAATAATTAGTTAGATGAAGCAAGACACTGTGAAAAAGACCGCGGGGAAAATAAGATTGAACAACAATGCTGAAAGATTATACACTTATTGTTATTGTAGAGTAGTGGGACATGCTCCTGAGTACCTCGGGGTATTGTGAGTTCATAAATTCTTAGAGTGCCGCTTGAGAATATATCCAAGTGCATTTGCCTATATTCTTCCCACTGTGGGTATATCATTTCACCATGAGGGGGCGTGTGTACACCTGAAACGTATGCGCCGCTCTTGAGTTGATTGTTACGAGGAATAGAAAGACTGGGATGGGCCCCATCCATATTTTCAAGTAGATGTGTCTTGATTGCATTATGGAATCATAATTGCGCAATTCTTCGTATTCTTTTTTTAAAAATAAAAACATCAAGAAGCGCAATGCTCATGATGCTCGATGCAGATTCCATGTATATCGTATGAATTAACGATAAGATTTTTACAAAGTCCATATTATTTTTCATTCGATTTAGAGTTTTATGGATTGTTAAAAATGTCGTCTCAATTTTCTGTGTCAAATCCTGGAAATTTTTATCATGTTCAATTTCCACTGAAATTTCAGGAAGTCTTGTAATTGATAAATTAAATATTTCATTATATACTTGAATTGAGTACTTTTAATACCGAAATCAAGTATCTGCATAAACTTGAATTAAGAATAAAATATGCTTGATTTTAGTATATTTTATACTTGAATGAAAGATATACCAAACGTCTGTAAGGGTGAAAAAGTGAAAGTTAAAAAATGAGTGTCGCAACATTAAAGTAAAAAAATTGGGATCAAAATATAAAAATAAAAAATTAAAGGAAAATTCCGAATTTTTTATATAAAAAATGTATGTCTTTTTTATATCTTTTTTTTCCGGCAGTTATTATGAATGTGAAATCTAGTTGGAAATTAATCAGAGAAAAAAATCTAGGATATTTTATTCTTGGTTCAGTTTTATGTCTATACTTCATTGTGGTAGAAAATTCAGTTCAATTATTCCGCGGAAATTCGGAAAAATCTGGAAAATTGAGGCAAGAATTGAAAATTCATATTGATACATGTTCCATTAAAAATTAAATCAAGTTGTGAAATTTCCGTCTCACTTGCACTGAAAACTCATCAATTTCCTAGAATTCTACCTAAAATTTGAAATTTCATAATCACTTTTCCCCTAAATCGGATTCAATGTCCCTCACATGAGAATTACTACCATATTTTCCATGAAATTTCGGAAAATCTCTAACAGTGGGCATTCGACTCTGCAAATTTTGTCTCGTTAATCTATTTTGCTTGTTACGTAATTTTTTGTACAAGCAAGAAATTCAAACTTGCGATTCCTCGGGCGACTTACGAGTCTTGTACGCAGCTCAGCTCATATGAATATGATAGAGAATGTTCTTAAGTTGAAGGCAGCGAGCTTATTTTTCCTTATAATTTTCCCGTCAACTCTAATTTCATAGAAAAACATTCATGTCCCATATGAGTATCAATTTCTCGGGGTTTTAAACAACCGTTTTCACATTATCGTTATCATTAAATCTCTGACCAACCAAAAGCGGTTCTCATGTCAATGACTGGGAAAACGAGCATTTTGTGGTTTCAGAGTGATGGACGTTTTTTTGCCCGCTCTTCAAAGTGTGAAAAACGCTTTCTGTGGCGCGCTGATGCGTTCGAGTGATAATGAGGATGAGAAAAAACTATGAGAATAGACAACGGGATATTCAAACTTAGGAAGGCACTGTGCGTGTAACATATGTAGTACATAAAAACAAGTAATTTACACGGTGAAGAACTGGAACTGTAATATGATTATGAATATATTTCAGGCGTGAGAGAGAGGCTAATTATATACTTTCTACCTTTTGGACTCTCAATACTTTGACGAGAATGTTGAAAACACTGCTGACAGAAAAATATCTGCAATATTAGGGGAGGGTGGGGCAAAACGGCCCCCCTTCAATTGTCAATAACTTGTGAATGACATTGTGAAAATTCCCAGTTTCAACTTCATTTTGAAGATAATTTTTCATTCTTCAAAACGAGCTCTAACTCATCCCAATCGGATTATTGAATCGGAAAATATTGACGATTGAAGGGGGGCCGTTTTGCCCCATCCTCCCCTAGTACAATGAATTCGAGCTTTCTCTTGCATTGAACAATATTTTCATACCGAAAATAAAGAATGAGAAAGACTTTTCCAACAGATTTTTCCAAAACTGAAATTTGATCGATTATTTTTTCCAATAGGATTTCGGCCAATCAGAGCGCAGTAT